TTTAGTTGGCAAATCTAACGAAAAATGAGAAATGAGTTAGAGAAAGTGCCTGAGTAGAAAGAAGTGACTCTCAAAGTTATTAGTAAGTGTAAAAGTGACCCTCTCTGTAAATTTCTCTTAGAGTTATTTTCAGAAATAGACACTTTATGAGTTTTTATATCATAATAGGTCACTTTATACTACTTAGACACTTTTTCTTAACTTATTCCCTTCTTTCCTAACTAAACATAACTAGTAGGACCCATTATCTATTCTATCTATTTAACCATTATTTTATATGAAAAATGATTATTTTTGTGATGAAGCCAACGATAAAAAAAACAAAAACAACAGAAGCGGTGGTGTTTTGGATTGTGACAGAAGTGGTGTCGAAATTCGATTTCATCTCCTTCACGAAATCTACCGTAATAACATCACGGTCGTCACCCCAACGTCTATATCTTCATCATCAGCCATGAAAACATCACCACCAAGCTTCCTCCTCTGCAACAACTCCGCCACGCCTCTACCTTTTGATTCACAGCAACATCGAACCTCAATTCATGACCGTCAAGCTTCTTCCTCGATGCAAATTCACCGTGGTGACCGTCGAGAGTCGTTGTCACTTGATTCGTCACTGAGAAAATCTCGAGCAACAATGGTGATTTGTCTTTACTTTGCACATTTGGTCCTCTAATTTTTTAGTTATTCTCAATTTGATCTTAAAATTTCAAAATTTCATATTAATCCTCGTGAAACAATCCCAAAATTCTAAACATGCATTTCATCCATTTCTTGTATTGTAAGATTGGTTCCACACGCTTAAGTTTGATTTCACTATTGTTTAAAGCTCATGAAATTGCCCAAAATTAACAATTTATGAACTCCAACATTTGTTAATGTAATTGAATACATACGTACACAAAATACATCAAAATGCATCAAAATATGAATTAAAACGGAATGTTGAAAATCATAAAATTATTAGATATGAACAACATACAAAACCATTTGTACATTGTTATTTAAGACATTTTATCATGAATCGATCTATTATGTTATGTATTTTGGTACTTTTGAGTAAGCATTCACCAATTCATTTATATGTGTACATCTTTTTCATATATTTCGATTCGATTTTGTTGTACACATGTACTGTGAGCATTGTGTACACCATCAAAATACACACAAAATAACAATTTTTTACATGTAATCATACTCTAATATTGAAATAGATCAGTGGGTCAAAGTTTGTGGAAAAACATTTCACATGCGCATGATGTTATGCTCTGAAAGCTAAAGTTGGAAAATTTGACTTAGATGACAAATATTCAGTAAAACCTTGTTTCCAATAAAACCATGTTTTCATATAAAAATATCATTCTATTGTGTACAATAGGGATATGTACATTCGTGTACACATCAAATGTGAATCAAAAAAATAAAGCGTACATGTGTACATCAAATGTAAAAATATTATTATTTTGTGTACATTTTAGTTGTGTATATTATGTGTCGCGTACACGTGTACATCATAACTGTGTGTACACATGGACAAGAGTTGTTGTGTATTCATGTCTAAGTGTGGAGGTGTACATTTTACACTAGAGTTTTTATGTACCAATGTAATAGTCTTTTTTGTGTACATGAGTACAAGTGTTGTGTGGTAACTATGTGTTTCATGGTAGTTTGTCGTGTGTACATAACTATGTGTATCCATTAGCTTATTTTTATGAAGTTGCCGTGTTTCTAGAATAAATGTTAAACTTGAATGTGATTCGTGATAAAGAAAATATATGGAGACCATGACATTTGATGTGCATAATGATTGACAAAAATTCACATGTCCATTATTTTGCTAATCTCACATATAACTATTACCATAATATAACACTACTTAAATAAACAAATGCAAATTTACAATATTAATTTGCAAGTTTAAGATTTGTATATCCAATAACATCGACTCAACAACAAAAGCATGAGAATTATTCAACGTTTTCGCTGAATCTAAATCAGTAGCAACTCATGAATAGCATACATTTTGATTGTATTTCATTTTCTGCTCTTTGTCCAACATACAAGCACTTTATTTCTAAAAGAAATTGTAATTATGAAAAATTCAAGCTTTGGAGACCAAAACTATACTAGAAACCCAAGAAAAGAAAATTCAAGCTTTGTAAATTGCAGATACACCCGCGTGAATCGACTTTTGAGTTTCTAAAAGTGCACTTTAGACCCTAGTATATGCAATATGCATTAGAATTCAATATATACATCTAATATGCAATCTAAATTATCAATATGAATTAGATGAGATCCTAAAAACCACTAAAATCATAACATATCAGTGTACTTTTGATGTCCATATGTACATCAATCTCATAAATACAAATGTGTACATTAACGCGTGAGAGTCGAGAGTTATGGTGGGCCAAAAATCACATGTGTACACTTACATTTTTTCTCATTTTTGTCATTGGTACATTAATACATTCAAATTGAGGATTTTGATATTTTGGAAAGCTTTGTTAAGGTGTACACTAAAACGTGTATACATGTGACCCAGATTGTATACATGTGTACACTGTTTTTTGATATCCATGTGTACACTTTTTTTTGGCGTCGATATGTACACCATTCACGAACAAACAACCATCTTTATCTTCAAGATAAGACCATCTAAAAATAATCCATAAGAAACCATAAAATAATGAATTCAGTGATATCAATGTGTACATAAAAAATCCTTTGCAAACACACATAAAGATAAGAGCATCCAAAAACAATCCATAAGAAACCATAAAACAATAAATTCAATGATATCAATGTGTACATAAAAAATCATTTGCAAACATGGCACTACTCTAATGTGTACAACAACATGTAAAACAAACTTTTTAGCTTGTTTATTACTTTTTAAAGAAATTTGATCATACTTTTATGGATTAGTCACTTCTTCGAGATAGTAGCGAGACACATTCTAATTACGAGGTACACATGTACAGGTTTGTTGTACACATTGATCAGTAAAATTATGTGTACACATATATATCGTGGTAAATTTGTAAAGCAATTTAATCACATATTTTCTTTGATGGATATTTTTATGAGTCGAAAAAAATTGATTGCTTTATGTTAGATCATTATATGTAGTGTCAATATGTGTAATTTGTACTGGCTATGCTTGATGAATGGAATGGATTTTTGTGAGAACAATATTCATGTGTACACCTGAAAATAATATCCACGTGTACACCGAAACATAATATCACATGTACCTAATATCCTTATATCTACAACGAAGCTTGAGCTCTATATTCTTAGATGATAAACTAGTTGTCTCTCTATATTCCAGTGCAATCAGTTTTAAGATGTATATATATATATATAAGTTATACATTTGGAAATATGAAACCAAATTAAAAAGATTTATTTGAAAATTAAAAACATCTAGGGTATTAATGAAACAAAAAAAACAATAGGGACCATGTGGAAAATTGGTTTGGATAGTACAATTAAAAAGTTTATGGACAAATTTGTGATCAATCTTGTACAAATTCGAAGTTTGAGACAAATTGAAAAATAATCAAAAGTTGAAGGATCATATGTGCAAATAATTAAAACTTCACCATTGTTGTTCTGGGCAAGTTTTTTTCGATCAATGACTTAAGCAACAACGGATTCCGGCGGCCAGGACTCTTGTTCCGAGCATGACGACGGTCGGGAGGAGACGACTCAACCGCGGATTGCGGTAGAGCTCTATCGGACTGAAGCTCACGGTTTGAGATTGCCGACAACAGACCTCTCCGACTGCTCACGTCGGCGCTAGCTTATCATATAGATCTATTTGCGGATCAAGTTTGAGCACTGCGTAGGAATTTAGGTGACTATGATTTTACATGAGAAATTTCAGTTATTTTTAATGATAAAGAAGAAGATAACAATAGAAAAGTGAATGAGACCACCATAGTTCTTTTTTAGTTAGAAAAGGTAACGAAACTAAGCAAATGGTTAGGAAAAAGTGTGTGGGGAGAAGAAAGTGACCCATAGTGATACTAGAAAGTGTAAAAGTGACCCATAGTGATATTATTTCTTTAAATTAAGGGTGAATGAGATGAAAAGAGGTTGCTTTTGTTTTCTTTGTCGTTGGTTTTATCACAAAGCTGAATCCTCATTTTTTTTAGTACAAAATAATGGTAAAATAGATATAATAGATAGTGGGTCCTATTAATTGTGTTTAGTTATGTTTTAGTTAGAAAAGAAGAGAATAAGTCAAGAAAAAATGTCTAAGGAGTCAAAAGTGACTTATTATGATACTAAAAGTCATAAAGTGACTATTTCTGTTAATCTCTCTAATAAAAACTCATAAAGTGACTCTGGATGAAAATAACTCATTCATTAATTCATTTTTATTTGAAAATATTTAATAACAAAATCTAAACATATGTGTGAGATACTCTCTTCAGGTACCAACCCAATGCTGATGCTCTAATATGGGTTTCAACATTGTTTTTTTGCTCCTGTGAATTAGTTTGGTGTCAGTCCTATAGATGTCTCTAGATGTAAGGTTAAATATGGTTAATTTGAGTATTAGTGAAAATACATAGTGCCATATTCGTTGAGCTAATTAAATTTGATCCTATGTATATCCATTACAAAAATTCCATAATTCGTTTAGTTTTCCGGTAATTTTCTGAAAGACATGATCTACTTTATTCAATTTTGTGTTTTAAGGAATGATCTACTTTATTTAAATTTGTGTGTTTAAGGTTTGATCTTATTTATTCAAATTTATGAGGTTATTAGAACCACCATACACTAATTTCATTATTCCACTGATGTATCAAATACAACATTTTTGTAATCATAAATAACAAATGGTGAGGCAAATTATATGCCTCAAATCCTTATTACAACATTCACGTCGACAATACCTTATTTCACACATACATTAGTTACATCCATTACATAATACCTTATTGATTCATCCACATACAGATACAGTGTGTAATAAATGCTTAGCCGACGGATGGGGTTTTTGTCACAATGCCACAGTCATTGACAAAAACATAAACCCTTTCACAAACTATAACTGGAAAAATAATAGCGCCTTCAGATATAATCTTAGCCTTCACTTTCGTATTCTCTCTATCAATTATCTCTTTTGCTTCTTCTCCTCTTTTCCCCACCAACTCAGGCCACGAGCTTTTCATACCTTCACCTGCAGTGTCTGTACATTTACACACCCACGTAAATAAATACATATATTAAGCTATGATACTGTAACTGTTTTTTGTAAAAGAAATTGTAACTTTTTTCTTTAGATAATGCATATTACATACATATTCGCCTTTTGATGTGCAGATTATTGTATATATTTTGAATATAAATTGGTACCCAGATAATAATAATATTTGAATGTTTGACTAGGATCAACAATATTTAAGAGGTCACTGGGGGGAACCGACCCGGGTTTTGGAGAGTTAAAAACCATATTTTATCAACTATGCTACTGAACTTTCGACAATTTCCTATACAAAATAACATTTTATCATATATTTTTGTGGTATCATGTGATCTCACTACTTTTCAAGTGAGTTCGTCCCTATATATATATAATATATATACTCTTAAAGATTAGTTTTAGTTTTTCACACATATCAAAAAAATAAATACATACTTTTACTTATTACTTTTTGTTTTTAGTAGATTATTTTTTGCTTTTCATAATCGTATTTTTACATTTAACTTCTGTTTTATTTTTATAATAAAATGAATGAGTTAAAGTCAAATAATCAATCTTTAAATACAAAAATATAAAAACAACTTAAAATACAGTATAATTATAATATATATTTTTATTAGCTCGTTTTCAACAAAAATAATTGTACATAATTTCAAATAGTTTGAGATGGCTATAAGCTATGTATAGTATAGCTGCATATAGATAACATACAGAAGATGTGTGCATATACTACCAATTACATACCTGGGCAGACATCCGAATCCGACATTTCTCTTTCTTTCTTTTTTTTTTTGTTTATTTTCTTTCTTTGGAGATTATGATTTGAGTAGACTGCCGAAGAACAAAAATGACTATTTATAGAGAACTTTGTGGTGGCTATCACTTCATTTACAATATTTGCAAATGAAACCGTTGAGAGAGACTTTCTCACATAAAGAATAAAAAACCACTGAGGGAGAGAAAGAGAGAGTCGTACGCTGACTATTCAGTTTTGACGCAACGTGAGATTTTTTCCATAAAGAACTTCTTTTTTTTACATTTTTGTTAAAAGGTTTGATTTCCATAGAGAAATTCATTTTTTTTCTTGTTAAGAGTTTCACCTACTTTATATACACGTCAGAGTCAGAATATGGCCGATATCAGGATATGTCAAACGACTGAACATCATGGTGGCTCTAAAATGCAGTATAATTAGTAGAGTGACGTGTATACTTATATATAATAGAGCAAGTCGTGTATGATTTGAATACGATATTAAGACTTGCTCGATTATGTTAATTATTGTATTGTATATATATAATACAGCGTGGTGGCTGATATGAACCTAACGCGGACATTTTTGAAACTGGTGGTCATTTGCCTTTTTAAAATATCTTTCATAACTTCTTAACGAAAGTTTCTAACTCTCTTGACCAAAAAACCATGAATTTAAGTACTTCTAACAAATTTATAAGTTTAGAAATAAAAAAAAAGGATTTTGGTATGAAATACGAGAGATAATTTGTGTGTGTAAGAAATATAAATATAAAGATGAAAATATTAATTTTAAGGGTTTTTAATCTTTTAGTTTCTTTCGTGTGAGTTCAATCGAAAGAGCGTTCATTGTAGATAGCTCAAGATCCTAACAAGAGGGGGTTTGTAATACTCCTGGATCGTGTTTGACGTATAATCGATCGACTGACCAACAATCAAACAAGAACATGATCGATAGATCGACAAACACTTAAAGTTATAGATGAAATGAGCCAGCCGACCAGTTAACAATCAAACAAGAATATGACCGACCATTAAACCCAACACCATGGTCCGGAAGTGCTACGTGACAGACTAAGGATGATCCAGTCATAGTCATATAACTTACTCCGCAACTTAAACCAGTTCATCGACTAACTAGTTCTACTAAATCAAGGCATAAGACTTTGCAATTCATACTAAGAGTTAACGGTTCCGCTAGATCAAGGCCTAAAACTTTTTAACCTGTACCAAGACTTAACGTTGTGTTAGATCAGACTAGTTAAATATCAGAATACTCATGATGCACATATAAAACAATACTTTATTATTTGAAGAAATACCCATAGAATGAAATAATTCAAGGCTAGACCCAACCTAATGCCAAATCGATTCAACTCAACATAAATCAAATACCGTTACAAAAGGAATGAAATCTACTCCAACGGTCCTAATGTCCATCTCCAAGCTACCCGATCATCCATGTCTAAAGATACCTACAAAAAGGAAACCTGACCTAATGTCACTCAGTGAGTTGACGCCTCTACCCGCAACCTAGACTCTAACCCGGAAAACCTAAAATAATAATCAATTTAGCCCTAGCATGAAATCAAAGCTAAAACTAAACAATAGATCCCTAGTTAATCATATATACACCTGGGTTCAATACTCATGTAGTGTTAGATATTTAAACTATACAATATCAGATAGAACATGATCGGCCAATCAATGATACCACATACCTTTTAATATTCATCACCCTTCACAAGCAATCATTCAAAGTTCAAACACATACATGCTAATGCCAGGCCTACACTAACCAAATACACACCAAACCCAATCTGGTACTTGAGCCTAAATTAGGACTTAATGTGAGAAATCTGTAAGTAAATCAATCAACAACCAAACACAGCCACAATAATAAGTCAATTCAAAAATAAAACCACAATAATAAGACTCTAACTAACTACGACTCGATTGAACGTAACACCTTATTTTAGTATTACACTTACTCTAGGGTTTTCACCCAACTTTATATTTACTCGTCGTGCTTCTGTCCCATCATGCTTACTTTCCGTCCTACTTACTTTCCATTCTGCTTCCAACATTATTTTTCCAAGATAATATTTTATTAATATGATGTTCCAAAAATATGTGCTACTTCCTGTTGTGCTTATTTCCCATCGTGCTTATTTCCCACCATGCTTATTTCCCGTTTTCCTTATTTACGTTCGTCTTACTCCTCATCCTGCTACCGACTTATTATGTTCTCAACATAATATTTTAATGTTAAGACATTTTTTCGAAAACATCGTGCTTCAGAAATGTCATGCTTCGAACTATCCACGTCCTCATGTATTCCAAATATTCATACTATGCTTTGTGTCTTGAAAACAATGCTGAAGTGATCGCAACGCCTTTCGTTAATCGAAACTCTCCAATTAATCCAATCAACCATGATTCGACCACCAAACGTAGATGTTCAACCAACTTATGTTTTTTTCTGAACCATGTCAAGTTGTTTATGAACAAAACTCAACATTCTTGCAGATACTTAGATTTTTAAAGTTTGGATCCAAATTCCTACTTATCCACCTAGATCATTTTATTCCTTCGGGAAGATTACTACATCGTCATTCCACGATAATCCTGGGGAGTGTGCACATGATCGATCGTTCAACAACCTAACTCAAGTCTCAAATACATCTAACCAAACTTTGAGAAAAGTCATGATGCCCACGTCATGACCACTACCATAGAAAATATTTTACAACAACCAAAAAAAGTCCTTCGGCATGGCAGTTTTAATAAACCAATAAGAAAATTTATCATTGTCATACGCAGCTCAAACACTGATGAGTTTATAGTAGCCTTGAACACATAGGTAAATACTCAGAAAATTTTACAGTACCCGTAAGCCATATTGTTTCAGTTAGTTACTTATATTTGTGATCCATTTTGATCTAAAGATTTTTAAATTTTCAAAAATCTTAATACCAGAAGGTTTTTTTTTTACATTAATTCAATGTTTTATAGATATCAAGTCTTTTTAGGATCAAATCAAAACGAAACACATATCAACTTTAATGTAGCAAATAAAAATTTATAAAATTGTTTCTTATGACCAAAATAATCCATAAGAAAAAAGGACCAAAATTAGTTTCATCAAAGAGTTAAAACTTAGTTATCTTTAATGAATAATATATTTACTTTAAATAAATATTTTTAAAACATTTAATTAAAAGTTTATTATTTTAAATTATTATCCTAAATCTTAAATTTTGGACTCTGAACACTAATCTCAAACTCCACCTCAAAAATGAAACCCTAATTCTAGTACTAATTTAACTAAAGGGGTATATGTATCTTTAAACTTTTTTAATGATGTTGTTTTAGTTAATTTGCCTCCCTAAAGACTATTTTGTGACAGTTTTTTTTTAAACCAAAATAGATATTTTTCCTAATCAAAAGTTACAATTTTTTTATTTATTTTATATTGAGTATGGAGTTAAAAGTGATGGTTTAGGATTATTTGAAGAGTAGGTCTAAATACAAGTTTAGAATTTATAAAACAAAAAAAAGTCATCATTTGGCACTAAATTATTATTTTCATCATATTTAAATATACAACCAGATATCATAATAAACATATAAAAGATGCAATCCAATAATTTATATTATTATTTTAACATAATATAAATATTATAGGTAATTCTTGATTTTGATGATAGTGTTTGAGATTCCTATTATTTTGTTTTATTAGTAGTTGTGTTACTTCTATTATTTTAGTGTAAAATGTAAATATGAGTAGTTGTTTAAATCTTAATATTTTCTATTATATTTAAAAAATTTAACAAATAAAGGGGGTGATTGATTGGACTATAACTGTAAAAATTTAACTGTAGAAATTGTACTGTAAGTGTATTGAATGTAGCTGTATATTTACTAAAGTAGATTTTTCTGCATAGGTTTTTGATGTATTTATGATAACTGTAGCTGTAAATTATTGGATGTACTTTTGTAAAATAAAACATAATTGGATAAAATGTATTGTAGCTGTAAAAAAAATCTTTTCTATATTAAAAATAAATATTTATTAAATTAATTTAAAATAAAATAAAAACAATCTAAAATAAAAGTCAATGGAAAAACACCATCTAAATAATAATAATAAAATTCATCTACGAAAATTCCATAAATTCATTGCAATCTCATCTCGAAAACCTTCCATGTATTGTTGAGATTCGATCATTTGTTGAATATACTAAATACATGGCTCTAAATTATTAATTTGTGATCAAGGATTATCATTGTTTTCTATATATTAAACATTTGACTTATATATATACATGTATGTATGTTGTATGAAAAAGAGCACGTACTTTTCTTTTTCTTTTCAGTTATGAGATTATTTTTTCTACCGCCCAAATAATAAGGATGTAGAATTTTTGTCTAAAATAAGTAAAAAAATTAAAGTTCTATCTTTTTTGCTGTATCTTAAAAAAATAAAACTACATTCTGATTGGCAAAAGGTTTTTAAATTTTGCTGTAGATTTTAATTTTGAAAACTAAAGTTACAACATGATTGGTAAGAATTAGTGATTTAAAAAAAAAATAAAGCTAAAGTGCTAAGTTAAATCCCAACCAATCACCCCCAAAAGACTTTAGTTTTTGGTTCGGTTTGATTTATAACCGAACCACGCGGTTTTATAGCGCTTGAAATTTACTGCAGTAGAATAATCTGAGAAATGCAAAATTTGAAAGAATAAAATTAATTTCGACCCGAAGGAGAAAAACGTATGGAAAATTTGAAAGAATAAAATAAAATTTGGACCCGAAGAAGAAGCAGCAACTTTCTGAGACGAAGAAGAAGAAGAAGGCACGCGGTCTAATAGCGCTTGAAATTTTACTGCAGTAGAATAATCTGAAAGGAGAAATACGTATCGAAAAATGCAAAATTTGAAAGAATAAAATTTAATTTCGACCCGAAGGAGAAAAACGTATGGAAAAATGCAAAAATTTGAAAGAATAAAATTT